CGACACAGAAGCCGCTCGTTGGAATGGCAGTTACAACACCCTAGTACTTGGCACGGATGATGAGCTGTGTCATTCAAGAGCTTTCTATCTGAGGGTGCTTAGGGAAGGTGAGCGGGAATCCTAACTGTAAATCCAGGTACCAGGTATTCAGAAGTGTTCTGGAGCCAACAGCCACTGATTGGTTTAAAGTAACAGACCCTCCCCAGAACTCCGACCGCAGAGATGGGCCAGGCAGCGCTGCGGGGCCATCCGTCCCTCAAAAGGCACTTTAGCATCAGTACATTGGCACTCTGAGACAAATTTGTGAGAAATGAAGTTCGGAAATACTCTTTCAGAAGTGCGTTGGGAGTGGTGGTGGGAATAAGATCTACTAAGTTAGAATTTCCCATTAGGAAAATAAACAAAAAAGTCTCAAGGCATGTAAATATCTAGTCTTCCCTGCTTGCTTTGACGTTAAAAGATCAACAGGCCCAGATGAGCAGTCAGAGATCCCGGCAGATTAAGTCACACTATCGCAGCGGTCTTCCTTCTTATTTTCTATCACAATCTTGTCTCCCTCTACCAAGGCAGGTATGTTGTACCTAAACAAAACAAAAAAACAACCTCAGAACAAGTGCTCTATCAGCTCTTGAGAACACATTGTGCACTTTTCAGCTTTCACGTGCCATTGCTGCGTGGCACCACAAGCTCATGAGAAGCACTGTAAAAGTTCAGGGACAGGGAAACATTCGCTTGCTCAGGTCATCAGTTCAAAAGCTCTACATAATATTAACGCATTTATTTTCTGCATCACGGATGTCAGAAGACATCTTACAGAAAAAGCGTAGGAAACACTATTCAACGACCTGACAAACCTTCCACAAGCACTATCCACAGCCACATCCAATAACTGGCACCTGTGAGACATACTGTAGTATGTCCAGTTTCAGGCTTCCCAGCACAAAGACAGACATTGACATACTGGAGTCAGTCCACTAGCAGAAGGCCACTGAGACGGGTAGGGAGTTGGAACAAGAAATGGAGAAGCTGAGAGAACAGGTCTTGTTCAGTCTGAAGAGAAGGCTGATGCAGGGTAATCTAATTTCTGTGGTCTCCAGTTACCTAGTGGGAGGAGGATACTGAGAAGGTCTCCAATAACCACTTTCCCAGGGAAAACAGTAAGATTTTATATAACAGCATAACACCTCCCCAGAGAAGTATTAGCCCTCTTCAAAAACTTTTGGAAAATTAGTAATTTTCTAGACAGAGTGTAATAGTTTACAGATTGGGAGATTTCTAATCTTCTGTTGCTAAACTTCCTCATTCAGCTCCTCTCGCCTCACTTTTCTGGAAGGTCAGTGTAATAGACAGGCATCACCTTTCCCAAACAACCCACTGAACTATTTGCTTTCTTCTTCCACTCTATTTTGTCCTTGACAGTAAACACAAAGTTCATGGGACTATGCATTTGTGTTTCTGCTTTAAAATATCACAGAAGTCACTTTCGTCTTCTGATAAAAATCAGAAATAAACTTCTAAGGTAGGCAGCACAGCCATAAGACAAATCAAAGAAACTACATAGCCAAGACATTAAAGCTCCAACAACTGGAGGCACTGACAGTATTCTCTCAGATAAAGGACAAGGTTTTCTAAGGACCACCTTTCAGGTGGGAAGGGGGAGAAAAAACAAATATAAACACAAACACAGTACACAGTTATTTTATTGAAATATTTGAAAAGGCCAGCAATGGAAAAATAGGTTTGTCATGAGGAATTAATGTTTGATTTACTTGATCGTTAAAAAAGCTGTGTCTATAGGTAATTCTAGCCAGTTACAGAATGCACTGTGATCCATGCAACTAATATACTACAGTAGAATAGGCACTGTGTACTATTTTAGTTTTATCTTATACACAGCTTTCAACAGGTATGATTGACAGATGTGAGAAATTAAACAGCAACACTTTTTAAATTATAAACATTTATAATATACAAATTTGCTCATCTGATTCTTAAGGGTTATAAAACACAACATGGTGGAAAATGAAAAAAACACGAATTACACACAGCATATGAAGTTGATCTGGCAGTTTTTGAAGTTTATGTTTTTCCTTTTTAAAAGAAAAATCAGACTGCTAAATATGTCACTGGTCATGTAACATAGAAAATCATAGGCCAGGACAGCAACAGTGACTTTTTCTTGAAATACATAGTTAGTGGAGAAATTTGTTCATCAGTTAAAAAGAACAGATAAGAATGAAAAATCACAAATTCTGCCTGGTATAGCTTATAGTCCAAAAAGATGTAGCAACTTCAGATGAATGTGAAATAAAAAAGCAATCTTTGAGGAAGTATGATCCTTGAGTTGAACCTACTCTACCGAAAATGAATTTCAACTATACACTACTGTGTCACCATGGTGAAACATCTAAGAACAGTATTTTGAATAGCTTTTTGGGAAGCAATGTCTTACTGCTTTAATATGTACAGGTTATTTACAACAAATTCCCTTTTGGCCTCACAAGTTAAGCCATTTTAGCTGGCTGTTAAGATGCAATTCTTTTTTCCACACATTACGCAATACTGTAATTAGAGCTATAATTTAAAATAATCTTATGCATGAATTACAAATATTAATAAAGTAACTCTGCATATATAAATATTTCTAGCAGAATTTAAAGCATTCAGAATGTACATAAAAGTTTTTTTTTTTTAATTTGGTAGGGCCAGATGTGTTTCTTCTCAGATCATCGTTGCTTTAATAATGCTTTGTACATAGCAAAACCCAACACTGCAAAGACAGTAGCACCAAAACTTGCTCGGAGCCAAAACGTAGAGCTCTTGAGGTCCGCTTGTGTCACATGCCTAAAATTTAACACACATACAAAACCAAGTTAATTCCATGACAGGAATATCAGACAACTTGTGCTAAACTACTCTGCTTTTGGAAATTCATCACTACACTTGTCACAGGCAAGCAGCTTACAATTCACCCTTACGAGTATTATACAGTCATTTTACTTTTCTTAAAAGCTTAGGATTTGATCTGCAGCCCTGATCACATTAGTAGATCTCACTAAAGGCAGAGAGCTCACACAGCTGAAGAGAAATGCAGGAGCAGATCATTAGTCATGAATGTGCGGAGGGCAGTGTGTCTTCTTTGAGAGTACCAGCAAGCATTCACAAAAGGAAAACAAAAATAGCTAGCAAATAATTAATAATCCATAGTGAGAACAACTCTGTCCAGAAAAATCCTTTTTTTTTTTTTTTTCAGATGTTGAGTTTGAGTATTTCTGTTTTTCCATGAAATACTTTCCAATCCTGTTGAATATCTACTTATACTTCTTCCCCCAAAAAAGTTTACTGACAAGTAGCAAGTAATATTTTTCCAAAAGCTAGAATCAAAAAGACCATTTGTAAATCCCTTTCTTCCCAGTACAGTCACAAGAACAGCAATAGAAAGTCATCCAATACCAAGCTGAAAGCTAAGAGAAAGTGCTAGTGAAACAAGCAGTGACAATGGCACCAACAGAAAAAGACAAGATGTAACAACAGTATGAAGTGACCGTATGACATAAAAAGCCACATCTTGCATGACAGTAGAGACATGACCCAACTCTCCCAAATATTGCAAGAAGTCTGTAAGCATGCTCAGTTAATCACGGCTAGCCATCCTCAAAAGTAGTCTTAAGTATGACAGCTTACCATAAAGCAGGAGCTACCATTTAAAACAAGTTATCATAAATGCCATAATTCAAAGCAGAAGAAGTTCCTAAACAATAGTAAAGTTTTCTTTTGTTTGTTTGCTTTTGTTTAAGATAGAACTTACAACAGAACTTCACTAGCCTACCTATTTCAGCCTGTATTAATCATCACGAGTTACTCAGTGAAAGCTGCAGGAGTATTAAGTACAAGGAGCATACAGAGATCCTACATGGTGCACAAGAGAGTTCATATAGTGTGAATGGCAGAGCTATAGCACACAAGCTGCTTAATAAAGCAGGAATTGTTACTTGCTATGAAAACGCACAAAACCAGTTTAGGATACTCTACTTTAGTAGACATTTGCAGGAGCAATATACACCATATAGATAATCAGTGTACTGTCAAACCACACGCTGAGGAGCAGGCTCTTTGGTGCACAAACAGCGAAACACAGCTGGTCTCTAGAAAATCCTAATCTTATTTAAGAATATCTTGCCGGGTTATGGAACAAATCAAATTCATTAATTCCTGCAAGCATTAGTTCTTCTACAGCTAATTTTAACAAACTCTGCAAACTAGATGTCACATGGTTTGCTGAGGGGAAGAAAGGGAAAAGGCAATGGCAAGGTCACCTCAGTTTAGCTGTTGTTACCTGTCTTCAAGCAAACGTGGACCAAGAGATGACTCCATGAAGATGGAATCTTCTACAAAGTTGACGGCGTGCACCTGCTGCATAATACTGCTCTCCTCGTCTGCTAACAGCATGGCCCCCAACTCATCTATGTAGGGTCTTAACCTTTTTACACACATGCACAGTTTGCAGTTCATAGCATGGCTCAACAACAGCGTCTCAAATATGCTCAAGTAACAAAGCCCAGAGAATTTGTAATTTTTAGCCATCTAGCCCCTGATTCTTGTGCAGTTGTTAAAAACTTAGTGCTTGGGGAAAAACAGAAATAAATGGAGTTTGTACTTTTGATGAGCTAAGTAAAATATACGATTTTATGTAGCTAAATGTCATTGCTTTAAGGACAAAGAAAACTGCTTACAAAACTGAATCTCTTCCCACTCCATCCCCAAAGCCTCAGCTTTCATGTGTCCACAGGATACTGCAATACTCCTGCACCATAAGCCCGAGCTAGAGTACCTGTGCCACATGCACTGGAATGACTCCAACACTTCAGCCCTGCAACTGACAACATCTCATTACTGTTGATAATTCAATTAAAGACTCTATTTTATCACTACATGTGGTGGGTTTTTTAGTAAAAGACTATAAAATGCTTGTCTTCAGATCTGTAAATTATAAAATTCCCTTGCATATGTAAAATAAATCACTTGTATGTAACACAATTTTAACAGATTGTGTGACTGGCTCTGTTGGGCGAGTATTTGTATAACTAACAACTCTCAAGTTTGGTTTGGTTAATTCAGTTGCCCAACTATTTGTTTAATTTAAAAAACATCCCTTCAAATGTGAAAAATCACTGTTTAAAGCGCAAATGAATGCTTTTGCATTGCCTCATAAAGCACTCTCTCTCACATCTAGATTTTCTGATTCTTATCTATAATTTGCCTTGTTTTGACTTTCGCGCATGTCCATATTTAATGGTATGCAAGAAACTTGCTGAGCATGCTTCATCCTTTTAAAAACAATTAATAAATTCTCAGACATGATAAAATCCTCTTTTCATGTCTAAAGGGAGAGTAAATTGACTCTAATCCCTTCTCTAATCCTAACAGTAACAGACTCTTTCATTTAAATAAAGGAACTAAATCTAGATAGGGATTTGTCTTATAACCTCAAGGAAATCTACTGACTTCAATAAGAAATTATTAGAGCTCTCTGAACATCTCAGCCCAAAAATCCACAGTCCAAAAATACTGAAATTCAAAACACTCTGGATGTCTAATTGCTTTACACCTTTTAAAAAAATTCCACTTTTTCTACCTTAAATTATCCTTATGCTGTTATAAATTCAATTTTTGCAACTTTGATCCCTAATATTGTTTAGCTGCCATTAAAGGGGAAAAAAAAAAAAAAAATCTGTCTGAAACAATAAAAAAGGATCAATACTTGTTTCCAGCACAGGTCCTCTGACATGAAGGTGGCTGTAACGCAGAAAAACTTTTCTCAATACATACTGAAAATTGTACCTCTTCAATAAATAATGTTCAAATTTTATTTTAGTGTACCTATGTTTATGAAACTAATTTTCACCAGTGGAAGAAATTATTACTGCCCTGCTAGTGAGAGAGTAACTCTGAATTAGAAAAATTATTCTCTCCATGTGTAAAACGTATATATGGATGTGCACATACACACATACAAAGTAGTAGTTAGGACTCCATAAATGAAGCTGTATTTGAAACTCTGGCTTTTTAGTAGTAATAACTAGCTTTCAAGTCTCCCAAGTAGATTGGTGTGTGCATTTAATCATACAATCAGTTCCACATAGATAAGAAAGTCCAGAAATTTTGCCTTTGGCATAAAATTCAGATTTTAATGCACGTTTGGGGACAAAAAGACAGATTTTTACCCAACCTACCCTTAACAGTGAGTCAAGTAATTTGCCACTTGTTGAATAAGATCTTTGAAATCTGCAGAGTCTTTCTTTTAAAAGGCTTTAACAACTCACAAGAAGTTTGCAACATGCATTTATCAAGAGGTTAACTGAGCATGCCTGCCACTGTTACACACAGAACATTGTTGAGTTATGGGCCAATACTGACACTTTTCCCTATGTCAGCAGCAAAATAATCCCAAATCTGGGAAGGTTTAACCTTAACTATAAAAGTTCGAAAACACTGCTGTATTAACTACAAAAGCAGGCCAACAGGCTAGTCACATGGCTACTCACACTAAAATTATAAGCAAGTTAATGCAGTCAGCAAGCAGCAGCAGCCTGCTCTGACAGACAATAGGTTCTAACAATAAAATATAAGCAACTGAATTTTAAAAACACGTAACATGTGCAAGCTGCTGCAGCTTCCCTTCAGGCACATATTTTCCTAGGATGCAAATCAACTCCAGCCGTTAGAATTTTCCCCCATGCATTAGTCATCTAAAATGTGAAAAGCTCCAAGTGCATCTTATCATCTACAGTACCTAAAAAGAATGTAAAATGCCAATTCAATATATTCTATTTGGAAGGAAATCAGGGCACACAGCTTTGCAAATTTCTACTCAGTATGTGTGTTAAACAATTTAGAGGAGGTGGACAATACGTAAGTAAAATATTGTTATACTGTCCTAATTTGAGGGACACCTAAGCATAAGGATAGATTTCTGCAACTAGATTTAATGGCAATATACTATAATTTTGAAAAATCATCTGCATACACTGCACATAGTGAAAAAGAAATCCTGCATTATACTCTTAAAACTTTCCCATTATTAAAGGAAAATGAAACTATTGTCTTAACTTTAATTTCAAGAAGGAAGGTTTTCATAGGAAAAAAACCAAACTTACAAATAATTCTAAACCCAACCATGTTTTATATGCAAGTACAATTTAACTTCTATTCCACAATATTTAAAAATTTTAGAAGGAAGAAAAACATGCTCTGAGAAGTCTCCCTCACTGAACGCCACAATTCTCATGCATTAGAATTATTTTATTTTGAAATTAATTTAGTTGACAGAAAAATGCCACTACTGTACAAGCAAAAGGCAACAAGTGAATGATTTAAAACCAAGAAAGCAGAAAAACACACTTAAAATTGATGCTCTGGAGTTAAAAAAAAAAAAAAGGGCAAAAAATCCAAGCTCATCGTTAAAGAAAGGGTTAGAATGACATAAGCAGAAACCTTGCTTTTAAAAAGAGGTAAAACAATGTAGTAAAAAGAGATTAAGTGCCAGCCAGACAAATACAAACGAACACCTAAAGGAAAGAACAAATTAAAAATATAAAAATACTACAGGATAGTAACAAGTCTCATACATGCATGTATAGTGCTTTGAATGCAGTGCCTTCTTCCTCAAAGAACCAATAAAGCGTGATCCTGGGTAGTTCAAACCAACAATCCCATTTCTGCACAAGAAACATCTCCAAACTGAACTTCCATGTTTGTTGAACTTGCCTTTCTGATAGCCTACAAACCCTCGTGAGAATCTCTGAAGTTTGTCCGTAGAAGAGAAACTGAAGGTGGGCATGAATAGGTTTTTCACTTGCATAGCGGCTATGTTCTTCCTTTAATTAGTAAGTTGGGAATATTCTAATGTGGTATTATATTTTGCCTCGGTAACAGTGTTTAAGCATTACTTAGCAACAAATAATACAGGAAGGGGTCCAATGTGAAAAATTTCAGTTTACCTACTTCCACCGTCTAAAGCTTCAGAATAGGAAGGGATCAGAAGTGCTCTTGAGGGAAGGGATCAGAAGTGCTCTTGAGGGAAGGGATCAGAAGTGCTCTTGAGAAACCTCCTCCACCCATCAGTTATCTAACTTTTGCCCAACTATCTGACCTAATGGTAAGCACTGGTAAAACCAAAATAAGAAAAGTTATATAAACTAACCACAGCAGAAAATCCTTCTGGATTCAAATGCTTTCTCTAATCACAAACCATTAGATTAAAAACACATCGAAGGAGCTAACATTTTTAAACAAGAAAACCACCTCTACCCTCTTAAGTCTACAATTAGGAGCTATTCCCTCCTGCTTACAGGTATCTCAGCTCTACTATATATGCAGTTACACAGTAGTTCATGTACTGAATAGTGAATAACCTGCGGCAATGTGTTTGGTAAGGAAATACCTCTAAAAAGCTAACTAGGACGAGAGTTGGTGAGATGAAGTGAGCATGCTGGAAACCTGTAACAAAACCCTACTGACGAACTGAATGACTATAGACAAAGAGATTCTAGCAAATAATTCTTCCTTTCTGCAGGGCCAGTGGAAAAGTCTATGAGGAATTCTCTTTACCTTGAATTACAGACTTTTTTAGGCAGTAGTTGATTCCTATGTTTATTCCACACTATCTAGTGACAAGGTGTGGAAGGACAGCATCCCAAGACTTTTAAAAGACTCCAATACAGTCCTTGACAGTATTTCAGAGGATCGAAGTGCAATGTCTAATGCAAGACTCAAAAAAAAAAAACACCACAGGCCTATACGAGAGAAACGGCTAATGTAGCAACCCATAACCATTCCAAAAAATGAAGATATGTTATAGACTTGATTTCAGCCTCAATAATAAAGAGTTGGGATCTTGTAGTAGTGACTGCCAAATGAAGTTTTAGAGCAACAATATGCAAAAAGATTGCTGTTTCAAGGGATTTTTGTCTAATGGATGACTGCTGTAGAAGAGATGCAGCGTGAACAGTCTCACTCATTCACGGTCTTTTCCTAAGCTAATGAGTTTTTCCACCCTTCTTCAAATTCTCACTCTGTGGTTAATCCAAGATAAAAGTGTTAAAGTGGTATTTCACAACAATGCTCAATACTGTAGGTGGGTATATCTGTAGGCCTCCTATGTGGGTGTAACTTGGAGCAGCTACATCTGAAAACAGTAAAAAGTAGTAACATATATGGACCAGCAGCACATCAAGATATTCTAACCGTGGCCTTCAAACACACACATTTATCACAGTTGCCTCCAAGAATCACATTTATCATATAAACCCCCAAGAAGGCTAGGAATGATGCAACGACTGCACTACAAAAATTGTTCGGTTTGAACTCCCATTTGCTGGGGTGCAAAGACAAGTGCTGAGGTGTTAGTAAATCACAGGTGTCAAAAACTGCCTGCAGTACACACAGGACAAGGTACTGCACTGTTTTCAATGCTGAAAACCAGTTCTCTCTCTTTATCAATTGTTTTTTCCAAAGTATCTGCAAATGCAAATGTTTAACCATTTACCGCTTCATACATGCTGCATTCTACTCAGAAAGGAATTGGATGTTAAAAGCTCTAGATTTTTTTTTTTTAAAACACAAAATACCCACTCTTTGTGTAAACCAAACATAACACACACAGAGAAATTCTATGAATTCCCAAATATCAAACTTGCAATTATAAACATGTAATATGCTATACAATGCTGCTGTAAGTCAAGCCATGCCTTTATGCACGTATCCATGTAACTGATATCGAAGAGGCACTACCTCTAATCAATACTAAACAAACCCATAATGTCTCAAGTGAGACACATTACACAGATTTATAGACACTACTTAATGTCCATTACCAGCTCCCTGAAAACACAGTCCTAAGTCGTCCATAGTATTTTTGCAATCACTAAGTGCCTGAATTGACTACCAAATTGGTAATGGTTCAAAGAAATCACTGGTCTCAACTTGAAAGACCAAAAGTACCTTCAAGTTAAACAAAGTTTGACAATTCTATGACAATTATTAAAGTAAGTATCTGCCTATTTAGCGAATATGGCGTGACAAATCTGCAGTATAAGGTTACGAATGGCTTTTAAAAAAACCCTTTATTTTAAAGCACACCTGGTACCTAGTAAATAAAGTTAAGGACCTGTTAAGAACTGCAGTGAAGAGTTTGTTCTTTACAGATTGCAGCAAGTCTGAGTTGAGGAAGTTCTGACAGATGCAAAATGTACACCTGTTGCAGGCGCACATACAGCGTAACCGGGCATGGCTGCGAAAACACACAGAAGGACAGGAGTTGAAATCTTGCTCATAAAATCAGGTGCACATTAGGACTGTGCCACAACCAAGAGAGATTTAGGAATAAAAGGTACATTTGAATGAGTAAGGAGAGGAGGAAAAAAAAATACACTGGGGAAGCAAGGGTACAACTACAGCTGTGCAGAATTTTAAGGTTAGATGTTCTACATCTTGGACATTTTGGCATTACCACCATACACAGATCTTAATAGCAAAGCACAATCATGAATGAAAACGTTTGCTGAATTTATTTACGTTTGTAAGGAAAGCATCTAAAGGCTTCTGAGTATGTCTGCACAGCAATAGATAACACCCCTTTTTCAAAGGAAAGTAAGCCACATTTTCTACCACTTTGAATGCACACTTTACAAAGTGACAGTTTCCTCTATTTTCCCACCCTAACACACATACATGCTTGAAAACTAAGGGAGAAGCAGGAGTATTGATGTGACAGACATTTGGTCAGTGCTACACTTTAGTGGTTTTGCAGTATTCCAGTGCTACAAAATAAAGACAACAAAAACAAACCAAAAGCTTTACAAATCTAATTCAATAAATTCAGTTTCAAGTATTTTTTTAAAAATCCTATTATTTTGGGTGAAAGTGACATTACTTCTATTTAATTCAAAGCAAATGTCAGCTGTCATACTAGACTCCATCTGCTGTAATATTTATGTGGTTCTTCACCATATTAAAAGTTCCACCCACCAAAAGAAGAGATGCAAAGTGAGCTTAGCAACAGTGAGATGTGTAGTGAAGAAGAATATGAGCTAAAGTATCTTGCATCTGAAGCTCATAAAGGTGTTTTATAAAGACATTTGATTAAAAAAAAATAAGATCTATTAGATTAATGAACTGAGCACATAGTAATAAACACCCTGAAAATGAAAAAAGCTTCAAGCAGTGCATAGGGGGAACTGTTGTTCACTAAAGCGTCATTACTTGTAATCAACTGCCAAGTTGAGCTATTAACAAGGATTACAGTACAACTTATTCACAAGTATCTCAAAAATACCAAGATACGAATACTGACATATTGAGTTATGCATCCACAGTAAGGACTGAACAGAACCCTACGTATTCATTGGAATTTGCAACACAAGCTGGATGAAGTGGTGTATTCTTTAAGAAACACCTCAGCAACAATAGCTGACACTAATTCACATGTTGCATATATACCAACTTTCCCAATTTGAAATAATTTGAAGATTCTACTCAAGTCAATTGTGTCTCTCTGTTGCTAAATCTCAGTGAGGCAGGTCCATCCTCATGGCTAACAATGACATGCAGTGGTATTGTCCGTGACCCATGCGATACAAAAAAATATAACAGTTCAAGTACTTACGGATACATTGCCATAGTTGTCAGTTTAACAAAGATATCCTTACTCGGCGCATCAACAGTATTACAAGTAAAGGCTTGAGGTGGAGGCATTTTGTGTTTTTTGCAGAATTCAGCAGGAGAAATACTATATTCCTGTCTAACTTCATGCAAGTCGGACTTCGCAGCTACCACTAAGCATGGTATTCTGCTATCCATGAAGTGCTGCTGCAAATTTAAATAAAAAAGTGAAAGAAACAGTGCATGATACATTCAGCCTGGAACAGCCGGACTTGAACTCATTGCAGCAGCATTAAGATACATTCATTGCACTGAAGTGAGGCATTACTAGAGGCAGAACATTTTATATAGACAAGTGGACACTGGCTTTGTACGAATAATAAAACTGCATTTTTAATGCATCAGCCAGTACTCATAAATAAAATGTCTCTTAAGCACTAGAACTTGTGTATAGGACCACTAACTGACACCGAATATTTTGTCAGTGAGAACATATATAAGTGTAAAGGTTTGTATATATAAACTCTACAAACCTTAAAAATCCTGGCACAGTACTCAAAGGACTTAGGGTTACTGACATCATATACCAGGCAGACTGCATCGCATATGGTCTCAGCATCAGTTAAAAATTCAGAGTCACTGACATCGTGTAGCTGGAAAAAAAAAGATGGTCAGAGAGGGAGAAAAGCTCTGTCATTATGCAGTTAAAGGAATTTTAAAACTTTCTTTTTCTCATCATTTTTATGGCTCATTTTTACGTATCCGTAGAACTAATGGACTAACAATAGGCAGAATTAATGAAAAAGAAATAGTAGGGATTTACCATACAGCCAACATATGTGAGCTGTTAACATCACATCTGCAGGCAATCAGAACCTCAGCATGAAAAGTTAAATTTACTTTAACGCAAAGTCTTAGATTCCCACAGAAACTGGCATTCATCCTACAGAGGAAAACCACAGAGCAGATGACTAGATCTTGGAAAACAAAGAAAGTTATTACATTGTCATAAAGGAAAACTACAGTGGAATAAGCTTTAAAGAAAGTATTCCACCCACTGAAGATTAACTTTAGCCATCCTAATCACTCCACGTGACAGATTCTTCTTTACTGAATAGGTAGATTGCTTGCTGATAACTTATCAGATTATAACTTGATGCTCTGCAGTGTAAACATAATGGACTGGGTTCTGTACAACTTAGCTCAAGGTTTCAAAAGTAGGTCCTCCACAAGTTCAGTTTAAAGTATTAGCAATATGTAAAACCAGAAGTTATTTGAGTCGGAAAAGGAGGGGGGGGGGGAATCTACACTTACGAAAAAGAGATAATTAAACCAGGAACTTGTTTGCAGAAGGCTCTGAATAATTCACTCAATTTTAAGTTTAACCAGTCTTATGCAAACAATAATGAGGCAACCTTACCAGCAAGTATTTTTCCTGTCCGTACACATAGACTGTATTAATGGCGTAGTAAGATTTATGTTCTGCACGTATTTGCCTCTGTCTCTGAAAATGCAGAATTTCATGTTAGACCACAGCAAATTTTCCCTTTAAGTTAGATTTGAATAGTTGTTTTAATCCATTTATTAATGAATGAAAATTACAGTAATCTTTAGTTTATTTTGCAAGTACATGCGTAGCTATAGTCCATGATGTACAAGTAATTATTGCATGCAATAGCCATTTGTCTATTTGCTAAAAAAAACACAAACCAAAAAAACCCCACAAACAAAAAATACCCTCCCCAATAACTCCACATTCCCTCATAGAACTCTCCAAACTCAGTAATAATCAGCAAAGCTCTAAGATAAATTAGTTTTGCTGTCTAACCTTAACTCAAAAGCATATCTAGGTGAATATAAACAAAAGGTTTCTTACTATTAGATTTCTTCCAAGAAGAGCCTGAAGAACTCCACTTTTCCCACAGCCTTTCATTCCAACAACATTGCATCGGAAAACATTTCTCTGAGTCTGTTTTTTCTGGAGGTCTATCTTTTTATCTCTTGTCACTTTTGAAAAAACACAAATACTTTTCACAAGATGTACATACATGTGTGTACATGAAAACTTGAACTGTCCATTTATATTAAAATGCACACAAAACAATATCTCAAAAATATTAAATCAAAGATTTGACTTGAGCAGAAAGTAAAAGAGAATATAAGTGAAAAAAGACGAACCATTTGTTTAAACAATTTACTTGAGTAGATTTCAAAATTTAAATTCTTAAGTTGTACCAAATTTTTTATTACCTGTAATTGCTGATGCTTGAGATTCTTGTTCTGCAAGTATTGAGTAGCCTAAATAACCCAGGTACTCCAGGCAACGCTGCACATCTAAGTATGTGGTTAGACTAGCATGGAGTAGAAAAAGAAGTTTCTAAATTGTTAGCATCTGTGATACTAATTCTTTACAGTACTGAAACAATTTTTTCCTCCTATCTCCAGATTGACATGACAGAGGTATTCCTGGCACTATGTAGTACTGAAGGACAAAAGCACTCCGGAGGTAAATGGTAGCAACTTTACTAGTCTTAACAGTCAGCAAAACACTATGAAAGCAGTACTTGCTGAGGCCTATCAACTTACACCGCTTTTTTTTTTTTCCTCAGCAAATAGTTTTCCTCATTTTCCATATTTTCAATAGGAAAAAAACCTCATTATTGAAAACTACTATTCATATCATCTCGAAAGAGTAGAACCACAGAAATAAATATTTCAACAAGTTTCAGGGAGATTTCCATGTTTTGAAGAGAGCACTAAATACTGGCCAAATCCTGAACAGGTTATAACAACCAGCTGAAGATTAGGCCACTGGATGGCTACAAACTTGACCACTTGGATCAATTTTCACTATTAAACTTCCACTCTTTCTACTAGATTTTTAAGAGGAATCTACAAATGCATTATCATACTCAAAGTTCTCAAGTACTAAAATGTAATGTATCACACTTACGTCCACTGAGAAAGAAACCCTTGGTAGGTAATCCATCCCCTTTCATTTGTACAAACAGTGTTGTTAACATCAGGTCCCCATGGCATATAAGGGAAGACTTTGAACAAATCTTTCAGTTCATCAGGAGACAAAGCACAATCTCTATCCTGAAAATAAACACACAATATCAGACGTAAATCACTTAACTCATGTCTATTCTAAACTGGTATTTTCTTGTTGTACGCTTGCAAGATTCAAGAAACTGGTTATAAAAAACTGAGCTGTTTTCTTTTTAATCATTGGGTTTTTTTGTGGTTTGTTTTGTTTTGTTTTTGTTTTTTAAATAAGACTAAATATATGAGCTAGTTAAAAAAAATTTGATAGTACAACTATGACTGCCAATGCTCCTTGCAGACAGAAATATAAACAGCAGACTACTTTTGACTGCATAGCTTAATCCAGAGCCAGTTTCTGAATGAAATGACATAATGACAAAACCACACTTTTCACTAGCAAAATTGCTACCAAACTAAGGCTCTTAAGGACACACACACTCAAATTAAAAGCTTACCAAATCATGTTTATCAAAAATACTTTGAAGAAACAAGTATGCATGATGATTTAATTCTGTTGTGCAGTCTAGAGGAATTTTTAGCCTGTTTATTGAAAACAAAAACAGATACCAGAAGTGTTAAGTGTGTTTATGAAATATAGACTATTAAAACTCAAAATACAGACTTTTTGAATTACAACATTTGGTATTTGACCTTTGCATTTAGCTTTAATAATTTATCTTTAAAGAGATCGAAGCACATGCTTTTTATTAGGAATTCTAAAATTGCAAGTGAGTGTCTTTATATTACATGATATATAGCTATATAGTAATCAGTTTTTTGTTTGGTTGGTTTGTTTTCTGTGTTTGTTTTGGTTTGGTTTTTTTAAACAGAAAATTATGTAGTTAGGTTTTTCAAAAGAAGTCACAGAGTCGATCAATCTCTTAACTTTTTAATTTGGGGATTTTCAAAGGCTCTTGACTGCTATGAAAATACTGACAAGACTTTTCTAATTTTTTGCCACATACAATAAGCATCTGCTCAGATTTATGTTCCAGTTTTGTATTAAGAGTCTCTTCTGCCATCTTTCTTATAAAGAAATGATTTGGCACAAGTGACAGGAATTCTTCCTTCGTAATTTTCAGTCACATGAAGATTTTGGCTGGTAGTTCATAAAGTAAGGGAAATACTTGATGTAACAATGTGTTAAGTAAACACACTACAATAACCCTTTCCTCCTGCCAAAGCAGGAGGCAACATAAATTACACACATGTAAGTTAAAGAAAACTAAAATAAGTGATACTTACGGAGGAAACAAGTACTCTGGTGTAAGCTCTAAGTCATCATCATATCCGAAGCGACGTAAAACAGTCCAAGTTGTTTCATGCCTTCCTCGCTGAATGAAAAGTGTGTGTAGAAAAAGAAAACCTAAAAATCAAATTATGAAATCTTAAGGCCCTGAAGTGCTTTATCTGCTACAAGTATTTTTAAAAGAATCAGTATGAGACTCAAAACAAAAACCACTTGAAATATACATTCAGATTTTAAACCTCCTGGGTGACGTTACAGCATTATCTACACAGACTGAAGGTTCAGAAATCATGTTATTTGTAGAAGTGCCCTCCAAGGAACTGTTTCCTTAAAACAACCCACTTGGTCTTCTGTGGGTTTGCTGCTTTCAGTACCAGCATTTTAGAAGAACTTAGCTGTATGAAAATACAGACAACAATATTTTCAACAACTTAAGATAGTAAGCCATAGCAAGAAGTCTGGAGAGTAGTCTCATGGATGACTGCCTTTAGTTGTCCTGTATCAAAATAACTGGGTAGGATTTTTGTTTAGCACTTTCCAGGGCTTAACAAACACTGAGATTTCACTGTTTAGTAAGGCTATGCCTTAAGATTCCCACTCTTTACAATTTCTCACAAGTCCTATTATTGTATGTAAGCTCCACAAGCAAAGCAGTTACATTGATGCTCAGAAGGAAAACGTTTTTTCTCCTTTCACTTTTGTCATATGCTCTGAGCAAATCTGTACAACATAGCTGTTAAAATGTTGACAGATGCCACACCTTGCTAAGTGTTGCAGCCAGTGAGCTTAGAGACAAGACAGATTCATCTAGGAGACAATCTCTTTTGAGTCAGTATACTTATTTGGATTCCAAGCTCTGTAACAAGAAGCAAGAAAGACCTTATTTTATACACCCCATTATCCCTCAGTTTAATCATCCTTTGATATCATACTGCCACTACACCCAGCTCCTGTAGTCTAAAAGAATCAAGACAGAGATCATATTCCTAAAGACTAGCTTTTTTATGTAAGAATTATTATAAACTGTATAAAGACACATCTTTTAAGAGTTAAATAAGGCTTACCTTTTAGTGTTAATCCGTTATCCGCAACTCCATCACTTAGGTTTTTCCTGACTACATTCTTCACATCTTCCAAAGCTTGAGGTGCTAGTGGTGTATTAAAACAAATTCTCTAACATGAAACAAAAAGGGCATGTTAGGACCACTGGCTACTAAGCTAGACAAACAGCATGTCCTGTATGAAATACAAACTTAAATGTTCCAATAAGCTAGTAAAGGACAATTCAATTTCTTTGTGGAAATAAAAGTGTACAAACTTTATTTTATTTTAAGTACAAGCATTGGGTCTTGCACATTTAATAGATTTTTTTTTTTTATTTAGCTCTTCAACTACAACTTGAACAACGGTTAGAAATAAGATTAATGCCATTGCCATTTTTACAGATCCACTCTTTTATGCTGCACTTGAAACTTAATATTTAGACCCGATTCCCTCACAATTTACCCTACTACTATTTCTTCAAAAAGAATCACTTGTTTTTCTAGAATTACATAGTTCAACTATTAAGCATGGTGAAAAGATAAGCAAAAGAGTTACCTGAAAGAAGTTGAGCTCTGCATCATTTAGTGTACCATCATTATCCTGATCAGAAATTCTAAATATGCGAGTGAGTGCTTTAATACAGGCAGGTTTCATCTAAAAAATAAAAGAAAGTTCAGTATCTTTCTAGACTTGAATATAAAAAGTTTACACTGACTGACACCAGGCAGCTCAATCTCATTAAAACAAATACTAGTCTTCATTTTACATTTTTAGAATGGAGACATTCATACACACATATACAAAAATAAAAAGCAAAAGGAAACAAAACCATGATCTAGCAAATTTATATTCATAAATTTAAAGCAATTATACCACATTAAATGTCTTTCTACTCAATTATTTGAAGAGCCTCAAGCTCTTCACAATATGAAGATGGCACTACCTAGCTGTTAAAAAAAATATAAATTCCATCCTATTGCTACAGAAAGCTTAAAAAAACCCCAAACAACTGAACGATTGTTTTTTCCCCCAAACATTTCTTGGTAGGGGGAAAAAAAAAGTCCTTGCAATCCTAGCGCCTTGCAAAAATAAACGGCTCCAGAACTACAGTCAACTGTTTCTAAACAAGCACGCTATCTCTATTCACCATTTCAACTATGGCTTCAGAAGGTTTCAAACACCAAACACTGAAAATCTTCACAGGGCTCATTCATCTACCAGGCAAAGCATTGATCATATGGACTATCTCTATGACAAAAGAACTGCTAAGATACCTTCTGAGTGAGGCAAAACAGACACTGGTAATTCTCTCCCAACAACTACAGTGATGATGGACTCTTCTCTTCATAGAGGTCACACAGATTGCATAGAGATTGGTTTTGGAAAACCAAAAAGATTTCAGCACAACAATTTTATCACAACATTACTAACTCTTAAAGATGATTCTGATGGAAGAAATCAAAACAGGGTTATTCTCTGGTTCTCTACTTAACAAAGTATTTACGATTGAAGCAACGTTCCTACTGCCCAGTACTACAGGGGGGTTACATTTAGAGATTTTATTCGTATTTGCCCATGAAATTAACGTGTTTTTTAAAAAAAAAAAAACAAAAAACCAAAAAACCCATACTCCTTCATAACACACTCGGCTAACTACCTGTGATACTTAAAAACCAGCCACATTACTTGTTTCTTATCGCTTTTGCCAAAGTCTCACAAGATGTTCAGAAAAGTTCTTTCCCTTAAATCAGGCCAAGTCTAAAGTATTTTCCCTGAAATAAATAGAGTTATTGTGAAATGTATATCTAAAGGAGAACCGAATTGAACACCTGATTTATTCACATTACATTTGGCTTAAAGCCATTACCAAAGCTTCTCATTTTACTTAGCAGTTCACATGGGCAACAAAAAACTGTCTTCATTGCTTTGAAAGAAGAGGAAAGACAGATCAGATTAATAAAACACAAAATAATCACCATGGTTCTGGAATATAATGATTGACATTTGGGGTGGGGTGGTGGTAACAGAACACACTAAGAAATGCTAAATCCACTGAAAAGGAAAGAACAGGAAACTGATTAACTTCCCCCCCTATATTATTTGCTCATAGAATCTATGTATAAATACCTCTTTCTCCTCTGGGCAATAAAGAGGACCTGTAGGATGTAGAACAGCTTTCTGTGCATAATAAAATAGCTCAGATATATTCTTCAAGTTTTTGGCTGAACACTGAAAGAGAAATTCTTATATGGATTAGCTAGTTTCTTTCTTGACTATTTGGTGATTTCTTCTGAAATTTAAGCAAGCATCAAACTTCTAAAGATCTAGCCCCTTCTTGTGGGTACAGTGCTGTTTTGGAAAAAAAAAGACATCTAGCTCCTCTACCTGCTAAGTAATTAATAAAGGAGGTCTCACTACAATTTGCTGTCATAGCAAGAACAGAAACCAAAAAGTTGTATTTGGGAGGGGGAGCGGGGAGAAAAAGAAAAAAAGGGAGGCATATCCACACATATTAATTCTATTTTTAATACTTTGCAGACATCTCTCTGGCTTAATATTAAATTTAAAACACTTGCTAAAGGCAAGGATGTGAGGAGGCTCTAAATATTAGAAGAATTTGACCGTAACATTTGATTATACAATAGTGCAATCTTCCCTAAAGGGCAACAAGATATAAACTCACCATGATAGTGACTTACATTCAAAATATTTTATTTTGAACAAAAAAAAAATAAATCACCTTTTCTATTAAAAAGCTGCTGTACATGCTTGGCAAGAATGTATTTTTTGTTACTTAATCTAACTTCAGAGAGTCTTGCATACCTCTACACATGTTTCTATCTCTGTATATTGATTCATAATGGGAAGGATAGTTTCCATACTGCTATATTCCACTAGATCAGACTTGTTTCCAACTAATATAAGAGGCAGCCTGAAAATGAAAAAAGGTTAAGAGCTTTAAAGACAGAGGGATAAAAAGATCTATCTAATTTAGCATTCTACCTCCCACCAGAAGCCATTGCATTATTTTCATGACGTAATTAAATACCACCAGCAGCCAATAGGCAAAACTAAATGATAGCAGTTTTAAGCAAATTGTTTCAATATACACTTAAGACAGAAATGTCCTTCTTGTTGATACTACAAAAACCACACAGTTAAACACAAAAGTAACTAATTAGATTGTTATTATACAAAACCAGCATCAGTAGAAAAGCTATACAGACCATGTAGCAAAAACTAGTTATACCGTAACAAATACAAACACAGCTGGTAAAAGCTGCCCATGAAATTCAAAATAAATAGCATTGCTAGTATATGTAACAGACCTACATACTTCAAATTTCTTGTTGCTTGGACTTCTTACATAAACTTTAAGTTTAGAATATGATTTTCTTAAACAATTAACACCCTCACTGTCCATTGACACCCATCGATGTGCAGCCTAGTTCACACTTCTCATCTTTATTTATGCACCTGCTATCTTTGTCCGTCCTTTCATTGATGAGAGGAATCCATCGACTTGTTACCTAAGTGGGATTAAAAACAAACATGAAAAATACATTTCCAAATTTAATATGACTGAACTGTGCACAAGTTTGACTATAACTGCTACTGCTTCTTTCCCAAGGCGGCACATATTTATCCGCAAAGGAGGAAAAAAATAAAAACTGGAGCTGATTAATGAGCAACTTTCTCAGATGACTGACTGAAAACTCAGATGTTGAAATGGACCAGAAGCAATAATACATCCGCATGTTCTCTTAACAACTTCATCTCCAACACCATCTTCTACATTTTAAATGTCTAATACAGTTTTCAGCTTGCCAACAATTAACAGTGGACAAGTTACATCTCAAGCAATAACTGGATAAAACGTGTTACCATACCTTATCAATAGAATTCTTGTTGTTAACAGCATATACTATACAAATCACATTTGCCTAAAATGAAAAGAAAGGAAAGGCATGGAATTCCACTGTTTAGAGTCTCTAGAGCAACAGAGACAATTAAGAACCATATGTAACAGCATCAGAGTAAGAACAGTTCCACTGTTAGTCAAAAACTATGTCCCTGACTTGCTTAAGCTATTTGTAGTCTGAACAACAGCTTAAACCAAGTAATTTGTATGTTGAGAAATGCCAAAAAGGCTGTCTTGCAGTGTGACATTCACAGCTTATGCCTGCAGAGAGATCTATGCTACCAAGAAATCTAAACTGAAGAATCGTAATTTGCAGCCTCCACTTAAGTACCAAACTCAATGCCAGAAATGGAACACAACACCATGACAGACTGTACAGAAGATGTGCAAAGGTGCTCAGAAAGAACTGAAAATAGCAAACAGAAAGAATTACAAAATTACCAAGAATCCCGTGCTATTCATAAATGCAATAGTACAACATGACAGAAAGAAGCCAAATGGATCTTTCCAGGGTAGGATTATTTCTTTACAAAAACTGTCAGTCCCTTGGCCTGCTGATTAAAAGATATTTAGGTTCTGTCCTTTCACGCAATTCACCAGCACAGTGGCAGTACTTACTGTTCTTAAAAGGTTTACTATAGAGCAGGGCACAAAACAAAACAAAATGAAGAGCCAAGCAAGAAAAAGCAAGAGACGTCTTTTTTCTTCAATTCAAATTGAAGCCCACCTAATGCAGTGAACTTAAAAGGAAAGACTTCTCCAAAAGCAGAAACTATTTTCTAGTAAACACTAAAATACACTTACCTGTGATATTTCATGGTAAAGCTGCTCATCACTTTGCTCTGCTTCTGCATTCAATAGAATAAGCCATTCATTAATACTAAACGTTTTTGCGAACAAAATTGAAGTGTCTATGAAACTGGAGTATTTCACAGTGCTCTTAAGACAGCCTTGTGAAAGCTCTTGTTATTTAAACATCTTTTTATAAAATCTACTAAAGAGTGCTTCTGCTGTAACAATAATGAAATTGATCCATTAACTGTAAGACAGAAACAGTCTGTTGCACACAAGTTTTTTTAAAGAGGAATAATCATATTTGTAGACAGGTTCTTTCTGGAATGAATCAGAGTTTGCATCCCCCAACATTTATCAACAGCCCCTTCCTAGGATAGTAAGTAGCAACATCGTTCTATAATGTAAACTTTTACAACAGAATATGGCATATGTTAATTTTATTGCAGTGTTGATTTTTTAGTGAGACCAAGCTTCTGTGAACTGAATCTATGAAACATTTCATCCAACAGAAAGAAAAACTCACTCCGCAAAAGTTTAAGCTCAAGTCCAACAAAACCAATATGCATTATTTCTTTGTTCCAAATAGGTAAACACACCAAAGATATTTCCTCAGCAGTGGTGGGAGAGAGAAGACAGGAAGGTATCTGCTAAAGCAGCCCAATGCTTGGATTCCATTATAAATGAAAGAAGGATTTTTCTAGCTGTGCAATAGTTGCATATATTTGTGATAGCATATGAACTTTGATACTGAGTCTATTTATATATTCAGTAAGGTCAAGGAGATTAGAATATATCAAAAAAGAAAAACACAAAATATGAAACTGACACAAAATATGAAACTGACACAAAATATGAAACTGACACAAAATATGAAACTGACACAAAATATGAAACTGACACAAAAGGAGAAGGTGTCCAAACTTAGAAATTCAGAAAGACATAGAATACAAGGTGAAGTCTCCTGCATCTTAGTAAATTCTTCACTGAAAGAAAGAAGAATAGTTTTGAATTCCATTAATGTACCCACCTTTGTCTGAACCTGTAAATAGGTCTGTCGCACAAAGAACACTAACTTCACTGGAATATTGCTACAACTGTCTTTCATGAAAGTACCAACAGCAGTTAGCGTTAGGCTTTGAATTAGTAGGACCAGCCATCATCATCTGATTTAGTTTCATCCCACGAGTTTCTACTTTAATCCAGTCTTTTCCTACATTACATGTAGGTCCCATACCTGTATGGCTATTAAAGAGGCTATTAAGTTAGATAACAATTCCATACCATATCAGTCCAACAGTAACAGTATTGTGTAGTCCTGACCTGAATAATCCACTATGTGAGTTGGCACTCTTTCAGGGGTGACATCAGCAGTTTTTTTTCTTCAGCTCGTGGTGGAACCTTGGGTTGTAAAGAAACAATAAGAAAATGCCTTTAAAGATAACCCAGAAAATCCAGATAGTCAAAAAAAGTTGTATACTATACCTGCCAATTAGTCAGCTTTAAATGGAACAACTTATTAGTAGTTCAAGTACTTTGGGTTTTGGGCTTTTTTGTTTGTTTGTTTTGTTGTTGGTGGTTTTGTTTCTTTGGTTTTTAGGGTTTTTTTTGGTTGGTTGTGTTTTTTTTTTTTCTTTCCCCAATATACTGGAAGTCACTGCTACCTTCTCATTCTTTATTAGTCTACTTGCTGAATAAGGAACTTCCTGCAGGCTTTGCAAGAGAGCAATGCTGTTAAAGGATTCAGTGAATGCTTCTACGAAACTCAAATCCACTATATCCATCCACCTATACAGAACTACTATAATAGTGAAAACTATAAACAAAATCTAAATTGCAACTTACTTGAAACAAATGTCATATAAATGAAAGTTCTAAAATTTGAGGGGGTTATCAAATTCAACAAATTATTTCAAAGGGCTACACATTCTCTAGCAGGAGAATAACATCAGAGTTAGCATGCCATTATTGACAAATTAAATGTTGTTTAATCCATGTTTAAATGTTTTAAATTTTGTACAAGATATTCTAATCCCGCTCCCACTGAAATCAGTACAAGAACTACCCCTACGAACAGTGTATGAGTTGTTAAAAAAAAAAAAAAAGAAAATTTAAAGATACGGCAAACAAGCATGACAGACAAAATACAATTCTCAATTTTGATACAATCATAATCTGACAACTTCCTCGCTTCTGACAGAGTGCTAAACATTAAGTTCAGAAAAGCCTGCCAAGCAAAACATGATACTAATAAAAACTGTGTTCTGCAAAATACTGTAAACTAGCTATGATCGCTGGCCATTTTTTCCAGAGAACACTACTCCATCTTCAGGAAAAATCAAGTTAAATCTAATTTTAATGAAAACTTCCTGCACAGCAATTTATTGCCTTTTACCTGCTGACACTGAACTTTCATGATATTTTAGTTTTCTTTCAATAAAAAAAAAGGAAAAAAGAACCACTAATCACCAGAAGAATGGCTCTTTGTAAACCTTCAGGCTGTACTTACATCTTCATCAAGAATGATTACTGATAATACCCAGTACACTTACCACTATTTCAAAGTCTGAAATGTCTGTTACACACACCCATATATCTCTGATCTGCACGACTGACCTGGAGGAACTGTACGTGTCTCTTTCATCAGTTTACATAAAATGCAATATTTTTTTTAAAGTTATTTCTGTCATTTCCGGCAGATTTTGTGTTATATAAATTATGCTTTTTCTGTCGACATGAATCTAGAGAAATATCCTAGACTGTACTGCAGGAAGAAGCTGAGAAGTGAATAGAGGCCTACAATTCATTAAATACATCAACAAATAACCTGCCAAAGGAATGGGTCCCTGAGCAGTTTAAGAACAAACAGAAAGTGGAGCTCCTTTTTACCTGGAAGGTTGGGAACTAAATTCAATTACGTTAACAATCTAATCTTGACTCATGAACTGTGGTAACCTACTGATTTGCATTAAACACAGCACAGTGTAAATTCAATGAGCAGCACATGATGTCTATTTTAAGACTTGTGATCAGAAGAAATAAACATTCATGTTTACATGTAAAAAGCTTAACTATTTGCAGCAGCTGCAGTTCTTTTTACACTATAAAGAGAACTATGTGCTGCTTTTTTTAAAGGAATAAAATGTAGAAGTAGTTTTACTTTTATTCTGCGAGAAAATAGTAAGAGTTTTTGGCATTTTTTACTTCAAAAGTGTCAGTAAAACATTCTTCAAAAACAGAAGTAAAGGTAATGTCTCGCTTAGTCATAAAAAATGGCTAAGTTTAAGTTACACACTGTGACTTTTTAATTCCTCAGTTTTATTCATTTTGCAATCTATTTGCTCTTTAAATACTACACTCCAAAAAAATTTGAGGGTCTTGTCTCTTTCAGCACCTTCCCATTTATGAGTCTCTAATGTTGAAATATGCTGCCAGTTACGACCAGTTTCAACTGCTCAAAAAAACCCTAATATTCCTCAGATACCAAAAAATTAGTTTAATTAACCATGCGAAAAACAAGAAAGGAATTTAAATTCTTAATCTTCACACAGAGATATACTGAAACTAATCTACATCACTCTTCCAGAAGTCATCACTGCAGTTGTAGACTTTGATTTTTTTCTAAATAGGAAACATTATTTTAAAGCAGAGACTATTAACTTACTCTTTAAAGAAAATTATACAACAGGCTAGAAATAAAACTTAGAAAACAAATAAGGATGCTCTACCTCTTCTGGAAATTCTTCACTGACAAGAGACATAATTAGCGATGTCTTCCCAACTCTGGCTGCAAAAGAATTAAAAACAGAGATTAGATAATTTGGTTTTGTTACACTCAATAGTTGCATCCCATCTTAAAATGGGAAGTATTTTAAAAACATTTTCCAACTGCCCATGTTAAAGGCTTTTTATCTGTTGTTTAGACATACTAAATATGGATGACAGCAATCCTCTCATAATTCTATTATTGTAAAACCTTAGGATCCATTTCACACTTCTGCATTTCATCCAGAAGGGAATCAAATCCTGCTCTGTCTCACACAAAAGAATTACCAAGTTTTAACCTTAATATAGAAACTTAAGCAAACAAACAAACAAAAATTCAAAACAAACTAGAAATGCTTTAAGACAACTTAATAAATAGAAACAAAAAAAAGCACACAGAAAGGAATTTAGGAGTTAACTATTTTTATAATATTCTTGATACCATGATTGTGCTTCAGTCCTGAACTACCAAGGATAAGGGCTGGACGAGAAGACATGGCTCTATCATCACAGGACCAAGTCTCCACAAACTAGTTTGATTACTTTTAAAGTGTAAGAGCATAATCTCCTTGATACAAATGAGTCATCCCCCACAAAAAGTGAAAAAACCTCAAACCACCAACCCTTTTAAAGTCACAGTTTTCTTAATCCAAGAAGAAGAAGATCACCTCTGCATCAATATTCAAATCTATTCAATCAAAGAAGTGACTCCATTTACCTGCAAAGTTCTGATACCGCAGTTGGATTGTTTGGTTTTGAGAATCTTTAATGTGACCATTTAAAATTAAGAGTTGGTAACTTTTCTCAGGGTTCCCCTCTCTCTAAAAACCTTCACCTGTCAACTTTCTGTTCCTTTGAAAGCCCTGGAAGACTGTTACTGCTTTATTTGTTTTCAAGATATTTCTTAAAAACCAAAACATTCAGATTCAAATATTATCTGGGATTGTATATTTCCAACAGCCCCCAATTCAAGCAAAAACCTATTTCATCCTGGACATAGAGCATCTCTGGTAGCATGCATGCTTTACCAACCAAGACGCTGCTCGCAATCACAGCCTGTATCACTGTTCCTACTGAAAACAATATAAAATGTCACCAATTGACATAAGTTGTTTTGCCAATATCACTGCATTTACACTTGTCTATTTAACTGATTATAATTCTGAATATGGGAGGAAGAAGAGGAGATGAAATTGTATGACTGGTTGTTTTTGTGCAGAAAGTGGTATTACTGAACTGATGATCTAGTCAAAGTACATTCAACTTACCCAAGTCTATTTTTGGTATAGTAACAAAGGGCCTTCTGACATCCAGAAATCAAAGCTGCTCTTCATCATGGTAAGTTAAAGAGCAGTTATTACAAAATTATGAAAAGCAAAGAAAAAGTTATCCAGGTGAGGAAGACTTTTGTTTTCCTTAGGGAGAGTAGTTGTAAATTTTTCCCCAGTGGTATTAGCTGGAGAGCAGTAAGGTGCAGGTTTTTTTAACAGCAGTGTGGTTGTGTTTTCATCAAAGATACTCATATGAGCTAAAACCATAATTTACACTGCCAGGCGTCCTCCTGCATAACTATATCTTAAATTTCATCCTGAGAGAATCAAAAGAGCTTTAAAAGCTCACCTATTTTCATAGGAAAAAAAAGATATGTACTTTCCTGACAGGCAAGTAAAGTTATTAGATAATTACTGAGAACAGTGCAGTGTATTTTGCATCTGACCAAGTCAGCTTTAATTTGAAACAGTGGCAAAACCTGTCGGCTTTGCAGATACAGAAACTCATTTCATTAATTTTATACGACTGAAAATAGAAGATGATGTATTGCTGGTTAGTAAATGCTCAGTATTTACAAGCTTCTGATACACTTCCTAGTGTTCTAGAGTTGGTTTTATGAAAATCCACAGGTTCAAGTGTGGAGATTTGGTTTATTTTGCTTGAATCTAGGTCAACCATTTGCCTTTCAATTCTGTTTATAGTCTCAGAAATAACAGCGTAAACAATATTGGCTGACTAGAATGAAGGAAACAGCCACAGCACTTTGTGATAATTAACTCGTCTTTTTCCTCATATACAAGCCTTTTAGATCATGTTGCATAAAATAACATGCTGGACATATTCTGAAAATTACTGGCTATTAAAAATGTATGTTTGCACCCTGGATATTATCACTAAAACAACCTTAAACCTAAAACGTAGACCACTGGGGATGAAAAAGGTTCTATTTTGGAACGGGCTTAAAACAAAAGGTCTTCACATATTTCAGAGTCTGAATCTCACAGTCTGCTATTATCATTTAACAAGTATTAGATGGTCTGGACTAACTTGTGGTTTCAGGCTAATACATAAACATGAGACATGTATACAAAGCAGTATTAGCAGTATAACTGTCAAGTTTTACCAATTTGTAAAACAAATTTCTCCTTGCTTACAATCTCTGATGCGTGCCATGTACTATATGTTGCTACATTTAAGAGACCTGTACCTTTGAAATTTTCAGTTGGACATACTGTGAACCTGATTGCCAAATGAAAGCACCTGTTACACCTGTACTTAAACCACTGTACAGAGCCAGTTCAGAACACACCATTGCCAAAGAAAGTTAGGCATATATTCCGAAGAGGAATTCAATTGTGTATTCAAATACACAAATGTATTTCTAAATAAACTGAGTCCTGCAAAACTAGCTTAATGACTTAACTCTTTCTGCATAGCACCGTCTCTTTGAAGATTCCTCTCTAAAGAAGTCATAGAGGATCCATCTAGGCAGCACAGACAGAGCCAACCTGCGCTATAAAATAACTGCATAAACTGTACTATGAATATATATAGGGCATTCAATTTTCAGGAAAGCTTTGTTGGTAGTACTACATTCTTAGTATAATTAGGTAATTTTACTAATAACATTTGGTAATTACACTGTATTCTTTTCTTGTGAGGAACTTAAGCACACTTTACAGACTAACAAAACAAAACCTTCTTGCTGCTATTTACATCAGTAAGAAGCTATATCTTTGAAAACCTAGCCACTTATTTGGGTACCTAAGTGTGAACTTAAGGACATAATTTTAGGAACATATGAAAAAACACTGACCCACTGTAACTTTGGCACGCATGTAAGTACATGCTGTTTATTCAAGGTCATGCAGTAAGTTAATGGCAGAAGCAGGGATCTGGACTCCCTGGCCCCCTGTCCTAGCCACAAATTCAGAACACCCGACTGATAACCGCCTGGAGCACACCTAGCCACTGATTTCCAAACTCAGTAAATAGGGAAGATCTAAGTTTGGTTTCCACGGAGGGGGGGGGGAAGTTTAAACAGGACGTGGCCAAATATAGGGCAAGACTTTCATCCCGGTTTCATCTCCAGGGACGTCCAAGACGCACACCAACTCCGCAAACTGACTTCCATGCTGCGAGCTCGGTATCCAGCGGAGGGATGCGAGAAGCCGGGAGCTCCCGG